ATAAACTTTTCCAACCTTTGAATTAGAAGTGTTCAAATGTGTCTCCAGGGGTGAATGAGGTAAGGTGTCCTGTGTGAGGGAAATATTGCTAAAGCCAGCTGAATAAAGGTCAAGGTTGACATGTACAATCCCTGTGAAATCAAGATCAGTTTTCGATTATAATCAGAGTCAAGGCTATCACAGACTTAATGTAACCAAGGTCAAGGTCATAACACACTACCCTACAATGACCATGGTAATGTTCAGCACACTATCTAAAGGTGACCAAGATTTCACACCCTGTTACACGCTCCTCTCCATAGCCAATCCTGGCTGTCATGGTTTCTGGCTGTCATGGTCTAGATGTATAGACGCGTGTGTAACATCGGAATCCTCCATAACAGCAGCAGACCGGATCTGTTTTGGTGCTGTGCTGGTTATGGCTGAGTTATAGCAGTAATATTGGAACCCTGACTCATCGTCTTTATTGATTCCAGCTACATCTATTCCCCAAACTGTTGATCTCTCCATCTATTCACATTTCCATCCATTAATAATACAGAACTGTTTAGCCTGGTAGCATTCCAACCATTGGCCACCAATCTTGTTCTGATATTCCTAAAAACTATCTCATTACTGCTGTATACAGATCAATGAAAACATGCATAATACAGATCAATGAATACATGTAACTATACAAAAGCCTGCATAGGGAAATGTGTGTGGTACGTTCTAGTAGGAACTCTGCCCTGGTTGTTCTGGTCTACCTAGCTGTATAAATTTACACCACAATGGGGTTAGTAATGCCGAGGGAAATTTGTCTTACTTCAGTGGTATCAAGCATTGAAAAGATTATTTTTGTAAAATCTTTAGGCAGAGTAGTCTCACCAACCCCTATTATGACAGACAAAGGATTAATATGATTTTCAAAATAAACGCGGGATATTCTTTAAGAGAAATAGAACCTTAAACTCTAAATGAAAATTCTTTGTGAGAAATAGAATCTGAAACTCCAGAATCTGAAACTCTAGGTACAGTTCTTACATTGTCCACTGTTTGAGGAAACCTATACATTTGAACGATGACTAAGCTGATATATTTAGTAACCGTTACAGTATCTAAAGATGACTGGTACAATATAACACTCCCCTATCAACTCTTCAATTACTTTCCCATCTCAGCACTAATCTTCCCCAATACACCATTCATATCACAGATAACAGCTACATGGCTGTACATATATTATACACCCCTACTGGGATAGAACTGCTTAGCATGACAGCCATGTGCACACTACAACATACCTTTAGTAGAAAGTCTTTTACAAGGAGGCAACTTGTTACTGTAATGTTACAGAATACTGAAGGGATCTACCCGACAAGATCTGACTGCACTTCAAGTTTCAAATTAGATCCAATTGAAACCCTATTTAGTAGATTTGACAAAATTTGCAAGGATGGTAAATTTGAAAAAAGATTTCATGCAGAAATTGGATCCCACTTCCAGACCTTAAAAGCAGATAGAAGAGGAAAGCAAGATATTCAAACCACTCATTTAAATCTTGAAAGGTATTTCTCTCTATACTTTTATGTGACAGGGTAATTTTCAATTAAAAAATTTCCAGTTTAGAAATACACTTTGAATTTGACTGCCTTTGATAAAGTACCTTGTTCTGTTAGAAAATAAAACATGAGTATGACATGTATACAAGAATGTTCAACACAGGTTGACAGGGTTATCTAAGCCTGCTAACACATGGTGTGGCTTTACATGTACAGCTATATAGTATATAGCCATGTTCTCATCAGCATTTAGGAACATGATGGTGCTGCATGATCATAGAGAAAACATAAAAACCCACAATTATCTGGATTTTATACGATCAACATGGAATAAGATAGTGTTGTCTGGGTCACAATAAACATGTGTTCATGATACTAACACATCCAGACACCAAGTTAACTCATTCACCCCTGAAATTTTATAATGAACTATTCCATCCTTTGAATTGGAAGAGTTCACATGTGTCTTTAGGGGTGAATGAGTTAGAGGCTGGTCGACAGACAGGTTCTCTACAGCACGTAACTAGGGGATGTGTAACAACAGGTAAAAAGGACCCCCATTACTGGCCAAGTCATATTTTATTTAATAAAACAACAAAGAATTGGACCCAAGATTCTCTTACTTTTCAGAAATTATCGGGGTTTAAATGTCCCTGTAACAGCCAGGGTTTATCAAGACTAAAATCAGCTTCATACAGGTGAATGATGACATTATTGATCACTATCATGTATTTTTAATATATTACCAATACAATCATTAATCAACATGCAAAGACTGGTCTTAGCTGGTTCCCGAGAAGTGTTATATAACACTACAGGTTGGTGCCAAGTTTTAATGTGACCCAGTGAAGGTTACCAGACAAGCTTTTATGTGATCCAGTGAAGGTTACCAGACAAGGTTTTATGTGACCCTGTGAAGGTTTTACCAGACAAGGTTTTATGTGACCCAGTGAAGGTTACCAGACAAGCTTGTATGTGACCCAGTGAAGGTTACCAGACAAGGTTTTATGTGACCCAGTGAAGGTTATCAGAAAAGGTTTTATGTGACCCTGTTTAGGTTACCAGACAAGCTTTTATGTGACCCAGTGAAGGTTACCAGACAAGCTTTTTTATGTGACCCAGTAAAGCTTACCAGACAAGGTTTTATGTGACCCAGTGAAGGTTACCAGACAAGGTTTTATGTGACCAAGTGAAGGTTACCGGACAAGCTTTTATGTGACCCAGTGAAGGTTACCAGACAAGCTTTTATGTGACCCAGTGAAGGTTACCAGACAAGTTTCAGTACCTGACTTGGTGAATCAGACCTGGTGACAACTTTAGGTACCTGAGCTATCTTTTGTAATCCTCTTTTTTATGGTCCCTAATTTTTCATATGGGTTTGCCAACATTGTTATTTTAATTAATGGGACCATTTTTTGTTTGTGGATATAATTCACAGCTAGTCCCATGGCACAGTGCTACAGTAAGGATGGGTTGCATTTTTGGAGAAGTTTTACTGTAAAAATCATGAAAATTAGAAACCCTAAAAAATCCCCCTTTGCAGCATGTGCCAGCTAGGTTTCCCTGTCTCCTAATTTTTCTTTGCCATCAAAAAATATAAATTTCAGTAAGTATGGAGCTACACTCATACTTTCCTAGTTCTCCGATGTGCATTGTTTAACAGAGAAGAACCCAGTCACTATACATAATGGCATATGTTCCTTACCATAGTCCACCCAAATCAACTTTGATCACCCTTGACTACTAAATGTCACTACTTGAGACAACACAGTATGACTGTGAAATATGGGCCTCAGACGCATCCTACTCAATCAAGATTCTCCTATCATAAAGTAATTTAAGTATACAACTAAAGAGACCTACTCGGAGTTTCTGTGGACAGGACATTAGCTTCAGCTCTGTCCACTCTATAGTGTTGAGATTTACTGTGTGATATTGAGATCTTACAACAGTCTCAACAACTACATAAGAGGTAGACAGTCGAAGGCTCAACCTTAACTCAATCACCCCTACATATTCAAACTGGACTTGCCTTCTTTTTGATTTGGTAAGGTTCAAATGTGACTTTAGGGGTGAATGGGTGTCCAGCAGTGACGGATCATCGTCACAGTTTACTGTATCATCTAAATTAGTCTGCTATGAGATACAGACATTATCGTTAAGATTAACCAGGTACCACTGGAATTATTCTGAGATAAAATTATTAGAGACACATTATTGCAAGCTTGGCTAAAGTCCAAACACATGACAAATTGGATATTCCAGACCAATCCCCTGAAACCTTCACAAAACTGGATACAGATCCCAGATAGGGGCGTGTGCGCTGATTACATAACACGGCGTACCTGTACAGAATCTCCCCTGTCAGACCTAACAGGCAGGAGAGAGAGATACATAACTTCTGGTTAATTCACACTTATCTTATACAATCTGACAAACTATACCCAACATTCAGCTCTCTATTTGTCAAGTCAGTTCACATATCTTAATGGTGTACACAGAATGGTGTATACTTCCTGACATAAAAGACTTTTATTTGTAGACCTCAGCAATGACTTTGATTAAATAAAACCTGCTATTCTCTAAACCCCAGCCTTAACCTCACACCTGAAATATTTGGGAATTGAACGCGGGACTGTTCTGTCACATAAGCAAGTAAAGTATCTTCAACTTGAGACAAGTTTTCCCCGAGTTTGTAGTAACAAGGAGATAAAAGACACCGAATACACCTTTCACTATTTGTACAGCTCTCCACTGGAATCTGATATGTACACACTAAGGCCTCACTATAACAGGCCAAGGGTCTTAAGCCTATAGCTGTGTGTAACCAAAACAAAAAACATTTCTACCACAAACTATTCAAAAAAATTTAAAGCCTGCCTTTATCCTGGCAGATTAACTCTCCGAAATAAATCCTTAATGTAACAGATACTACCAGTTAATTAAACACTTGTTGCGTTACATCATCTTACTACTGACAACACTGCTTGTTACCACATATTTTATTCTGTGTAGAAAGAACATTTAATAGCAGGAATGGCCACACTAATAAAGAGAAAATCCCAGCTATACCCTTCAGGGTTTTAATTGTGTGGAAAAAAAGGGACAGTGATATTGAAAGTCTAAATGCTTTTTGTTATTCGAATAATTTTGTATACAATATCTAACCCTCATCAAAGTGTCAAATGTAGTGATCGATATAACTCACCAAGTATCCTATTGACAACATTTTACTACACTTGGCGTCCCTGGCTGTGATTCACCAAGTATCCTATTGACAACATTTTACTATACTTGATGATGACAAAAACAAGATGATGATGATGAAGATGGAAACAAGGATGAAGATGAGGACAGAAACAAGGATGATGATGAGGATGAAGATGAGGACAGACACAAGGATGAGGTGAAGACAAATAAATGATGCTGAAGTGACATGGTGTTGCTATGGAGACGTACCTTCCATCTGGTGTTCATGTTTACGTTGTAAACAATGGATGTCCTCCTTCTGTTGTTGCTGATGTTCAGTGACACTGGCCTTACTCTCTGCTCTCACCTCACGAATCTACAGCAAAGTAACATGCTGTTAACACTGGACCTCCATCATCACAAAAGTTACCCAGTATCACAGCTTCAAACTCAATATCATAGCTTCAAACTCAATATCATAGCTTCAAACTCGATATCATAGCTTCAAACTCAATATCATAGCTTCAAACTCGATATCATAGCTTCAAACTCAATATCATAGCTTCAAACTCGATATCATAGCTTCAAACTCAATATCATAGCTTCAAACTCGATATCATAGCTTCAAACTCAATATCATAGCTTCAAACTCGATATCATAGCTTCAAACTCAATATCATAGCTTCAAACTCGATATCATAGCTTCAAACTCAATAGCATAGCTTCAAACTCGATATCAAAGCTTCAAACTCAATATCATAGCTTCAAACTCGATATCATAGCTTCAAACTCAATATCATAGCTTCAAACTCAATATCATAGCTTCAACAAGAAATTATAATGTAGAACAAAATCAACAATTATTAATAAAAGTTACATGTATTTTCTTAAGTCAAAATGTTATTCACACATACCTGTTTATCTTGGTAGGCTTTTAACCTGGTAATTTCATCTGAGTAGTAATCTTCAGCTAAAATAGAAATAAGAAAGTTTAGTAGGATTGACAGGATTGTCTCCCTTCAACTTCTACACTACCACAGGGATGTATACATGGCAGGATTATCTCCCTTCATACAGAAGAGGAAGGAGTACCTGTCGTAAAAACTGAACTCTCTCCAACATATTCAAGGTTAAAATCTCACAGCCCAAATCTATGGAAATATTTTGCAGGCAGAAAGTGTAAAAAAACCCCACCACAAAATATTAATACATGCTTGAGCAATGTTTGACTCGTGTCTAATACACCACTTGTCTCCTAGACATTGTTGCATTCCAACAGAATTTCAGAAGTTGTACCTCTTTTTCCTCAGCTCATGATCAATGCTCTAAAACATGTCAAAAACACATACATCTTCTTCCTGCTGCTACCAACACTTCTATTTAAACACTGTGTATGGTAAAGAAAACAGCCAGTGTGTATCACAGTAACAATTTGCCCCCCCCTCCCCCCTCCCCATTTTTAAATTAAATGAGGTAAAAATGTATGATTTGTAAAAATGTGTTAGATACTCATTGAGTTACCACAAAAATGCAGGGCTATATGTCATGTTCGTGATGGTAGGAACCACGAACACAGCCACAACCTATGGTAGCTTAATGATGCTGCTAATATTATTGGCCTTGACTACTGATGATTTGTAATATTCTAGCCCTAAAATGTCTTTCATTAGGCTCTGCTGATATTTAGGAAAACTTCTTTGATACAGCAAACATTACCAAATTTTTCCCCAAATAATGAAATATTGCTCAAAATCAGATAGAAACCATCACTGATGTTCCTGATCCTCAATGTCAGATAGAACCCATCATTGATGTTCCTTATCATCAATGTCAGATAGAACCCATCACTGATGTTCCTGATCCTCAATGTCAGACAGAACCCATCACTGATGTTCCTGATCCTCAATATCAGATAGAACCCATCATTGATGTTCCTGATCCTCAATGTCAAAGAGAACCCATCACTGATGTTCCTGATCCTCAATGTCAGAGAGAACCCATCACTGATGTTCCTGATCCTCAATGTCAGATAGAACCCATCACTGATGTTCCTGATCCTCAATGTCAGATAGAACCCATCACTGATGTTCCTGATCCTCAATGTCAGATAGAACCCATCACTGATGTTCCTGATCCTCAATGTCAGATAGAACCCATCACTGATGTTCCTGATCCTCAATGTCAGATAGAACCCATCACTGATGTTCCTGATCCTCAATGTCAGATAGAACCCATCACTGATGTTCCTGATCCTCAATGTCAGATAGAACCCATCACTGATGTTCCTGATCCTCAATGTCAGATAGAACCCATCACTGATGTTCCTGATCCTCAATGTCAGATAGAACCCATCACTGATGTTCCTGATCCTCAATGTCAGATAGAACCCATCACTGATGTTCCTGATCCTCAATGTCAGATAGAACCCATCACTGATGTTCCTGATCCTCAATGTCAGATAGAACCCATCACTGATGTTCCTGATCCTCAATGTCAGATAGAACCCATCATTGATGTTCCTGATCCTCAATGTCAGAGAGAACCCATCACTGATGTTCCTGATCCTCAATGTCAGATAGAACCCATCACTGATGTTCCTGATCCTCAATGTCAGATAGAACCCATCACTGATGTTCCTGATCCTCAATGTCAGATAGAACCCATCACTGATGTTCCTGATCCTCAATGTCAGATAGAACCCATCACTGATGTTCCTGATCCTCAATGTCAGATAGAACCCATCACTGATGTTCCTGATCCTCAATGTCAGATAGAACCCATCACTGATGTTCCTGATCCTCAATGTCAGATAGAACCCATCACTGATGTTCCTGATCCTCAATGTCAGAGAGAATTTGTAAAGAAGACCCGAGGCAAAATGTGCATTAGATATGGTTATATGCATATTATATACCTTTACCTTTGACCCTTAATTGAAATCAACCTAGTTCTCTGTTGTTGCATGGGTGATATGTCTGTGAAATTTTAATAGAAAAGTAGAAGAGAAACAGCATAAGTAATGGTCTTGAATGCATTTCAAAATAAAGAGATGTAGTGACCTTGACCTTTGAACCCAAAAATGGTTAACATTTCTGATATCCTTTAATGGATACTTCTTTAAAATCTTCTGAATGTAATAATAATAATTAATAAATAGAGGTTCTTATATTCCGCTTTATCACAACCTAGTTCGTAGGTCGTCTCAAAGCAGTTCACAAATCATTATCCGTGGTTATAGCGCCTTTGCAACCAGCCAACATCTTTCTCAACTCCCTGGGGATACAGCCGGTGCTGCCATTTCTGCACTCACAGCTAGCATTCTAAAATGACTGCCCAACCACATACTCATATACAGCTGAGTAGGCTGGAACAAGCTGAGTAAAGAAGATACAACACAGTGCCATGCCATGACTCGAACCTGCAACCCTTCAGTCACGAGCCCGGCGTCCTACCAGGCTACCACTAGACTCCCGTGCATCCTAAAGGTGAAAACCTATTCAAGTCAAGGCTGGAAAACTAACATATCCACAGAAGGATTAAGGATTGGTTGGACAGGAGGCTCCAGTATATACAAGGGTGGACAGGAGGTTCCAGTATATACAAGGGTGGACAGGAGGTTCCAGTATATACACAGGTGGACAGGAGGTTCCAGTATATACAAGAGTGGACAGGAGGTTCCAGTATATACAAGAGTGGACAGGAGGTTCCAGTATATACAAGCCCATAGAAAACTTTAGTATAGAAAACTTTAGTTGGTGGAATCTCAAAAGCATTTATATGAAAGAATCATCGTCGTTTATAAAACAAACTGACAGAACTCCCACAACTGCACAGAGGACAGCTTCTTTTGCAGATTGGTAACTAGAGATGGCCGACAGTAGTTTAGATGTACAATAAAGACACAGCTGTTAACCTCTTCAGTTCAATAGACACAATACAACATGGTGAGGATGCCAAACACTAAATCAGTGTATACAATGCCAGCATAATTATTGTACTATTCAACCTCTCCCAGGTTGTGTAGGGCTATACTATTTAACCTCTCTGAGGTTTGTGTAGGGCTGTACTATTCAACCTCTCCAAGTTTTCAATTACTATAATAGGTTAGCACCTCCCCCTTGTCTATTTTTAGCCCAGACTGGCCGGATCAAAGACCATTGCTTCTCCAGGAGGTACAAATATTACTTCGCCTGTCTCTGCTGCTGACAACCTTATCTAGCTCTACTACATTTGCGGGACATCCCTGTTAAATTATTGAAAGCTCTGATCCTTACTTAATATTAATTACTCGGAAATAATGAATTCTACTGCCATAAAACAAACTTTCTATTGCTATTTAACACATAAATTGTTTGTACTCTACACACTGCATAAACTGTTTGTATTCTACACACTGCATAAACTGTTTGTAAATCTGATATTTTATGTAAGAGTACGTACAATAACTTGTCTTTCAGATCTTTTGTTATACATCCCATAATAAGCAGCTAACAATGAGAGCACTAAAGCAAGTGTATTCGGGTGTGTGTTCTCCGTGTGAGCACAAATGCACGCTTCAGGTCAGGAACACACACTGAGCTTGCACTTCCTGTGTGTGAGCCCTCCGTCAGACAAAACTGCACCAGCCAAGTTAATTGAAATCAGAATTTAGAAAAGTTCATATGCTATATCCCACCCAGAAAGATAATTAGGCAGAGTCTGTCATCCTGGTCCGATTAGACTCCAACATGATTACAGCCTAGTCTAGCCAATTAAGCTAATTTCAATTTGGGTTAACTTCCACATACTAACAGGATCATTAAAATAATTTTTCATTAATCCAGTGACATTCCGAGATACCTTAGTATAAAGGCTGTTCTACTGGAACGTAAACAAATGTTAAATGTTTCTATTACGCTATACTTATTTACAAAACACTGGATTATTTCTGTAAGCTGTATCAACCTTATGCTAACATTTTACCATCTTTTCCTCAGGAGAAACAGATGGCTTCATCCAATGTTCACAGAAAAGCATAACAAGGTTTGCACACTTCCTTATTTACAACATTTCTGTAAGTGTGAATACCTATCCTTGATTGGGTTTGTCTAATTCCATACCCGTTGCATTTTGAGACCTTCCTTCACCAAATGTTTTGACTGGCCCCATCTTTAGAGACTCACAATGTATCTGCCCTTCCTGTTTTGAGTGGACCCTAGGTAAGAGAGTTATCTTTCCTTGCTATTTGAAGACTTCTGATGTTTAGAGAACTTACTTTTTCTAACAGCTCTGTCCTGTTCCTGCTGGAGTTTCTCCCTCTGACTTGTCAGTAACAGTTTATGGTCCTCCTGCATGGTGGCTGTAGTTTCTATATGGTCGTGTCGCGTGCCCTCAAGTTCAGATTCAAGCTTGACCTTACGTTCCTGTAGTTCAACTGTAACACGAAACACATTAATAGAAAGTAAAATAACTAAGAACCATTGTTTATAAAGTGTCCATTGTAAGGGACAGACCATTGTAAGGGGCCGATCATTGTTTATAAAGTGTCCATTGTAAGGGGCAGACCATCGTAAGGGTCAGACCATCGTAAGGGTCAGACCATCGTAAGGGGCAGACCATTGTAAGGGGCAGACCATCGTAAGGGGCAGACCATTGTAAGGGGCAGACCATCGTAAGGGGCAGACCATCATAAGGGGCAGACCATTGTAAGGGGCAGACCATCGTAAGGGGCAGACCATTGTAAGGGGCAGACCATCGTAAGGGGCAGACCATTGTAAAATTGTCTGCCCATGACTTTTCATATTGAAGATTATAAATACACAACATCGTCGTAAAAGATATGTTTTGTCAATCACAACAATAAAGGGACGGTAAAAGATATCACTTTGTGACCTTGACCTAGGGTACTGGGATGAACACGTGTCATCAACAGTTGTTCAGAAGTTATAACTGGGACAGCTGACCTTTGATCACTTATTTTGACCTTGACTTTGTCCTAAAATACCAGATACCAGAAGTGGACAGCTTCAGAGAATGATGGAATGACATCATTACGCATTATGTTACGATTTACTTAGTGGTTACGTAAGATGCATCAGAATGATATCATCGCAGATTAGAGTTTACTCACCTAGTTGTGACTGAGCCTCCGCCATCTCTGTCTGAAGTTTCTGTAGTTTCTCCGACAGCGCGGGGCAAGAAAAGGCATCCAGCTACAAAACAATGGCATTCTGTCAGAAAACTAAATGGATAACAGTCTGTGGAATGAAACCTTGTGCTTTTACGAGTTACAACAAGACGATTAATGGCGTATATTAATATCATATAAAATCTTCCATCTTGGGTCTTGTTACAGTGAGGTGATGAGGTTAGCCAACATCAGCCTGTAGCAGACAGTGGTTACGACCTGAATACATACCACTCATAGCACTGTACACAAACATGTACACACAATGTAAACAAGGGGTTGAAATCACAAACAAATGGTGTATACATCCCTATAGATATACCTGAAAGATGAAATGTGTTTTCTCCGCCTAAATTGAAATTGTGCATGTTTGCCATTTTCTGACTCAGACGTTGTAGGTTGGGTTGAAAGAAGAAACATTGTATTTTGCCTTCAGAACAGAATTTAGAATTGCCCATATTGCAATGCTAGATGCATATATATTGTTTTTAATATGGCTTATTTGATATAATATATATTGTTTTTATTATGACTTATTTAATATAATTTATATTGTTTTTATTATGACTTATTTGATAAAATATATATTGTTTTTATTATGACTTATTTGATATAATATATATTTAACCATTTGATGCATCCTATTGTTTAATCAATAAAATATGATGAAATACAGAAATTTGATGCATTATGGAATGGAAATTGCCAAAAAAAAAACCTGCTGATTATTGTAGACTTTTCGTCAGTTTGTTGCAAAAAATTAATATTTTCATTAAGGATTCACATAAATACAATATCAGTTTATAATTTTAAATCTCTCAATACTAGAACATTTTAAGTCAATCACTTTGTATAGATTTGTGAGCGTCAAAAAAGTCTCTACAAAGGGAGACAACTCTGACATGCATACTTCCAAACAGAACTTGTACTGGTGAAGTCTCCTAATCCGTGTGGCACCACAGTCACAATAACAATGTACATATTTGTACAGATAATGTCCAGCTTTATCACAACAGGTATGACCATCCCTTCACTGATGTTACTAGAGTGACCCTGTCAGGTCGTACCGAGGTCATGGATTACTAAAGTATCACTGCTCAGTTAATCTACCAAACTGTGATTTATCTATCTAACGATGATATAATTGTAACCGGAAAAAGAATAGTGTGCTTCCACCAGGGATCAAACCCTCGATCTCAAGGTTCCTAGTCGGACGTTCTACCACTGAGCTAAAGGGAAATTCCCTCTAGCTCGAAGCTAGAAGGTGACCGTACTCTTATGTACAATTATAATCTGCCACATAGTAAACACCACTACTTGTCTTATATAACCTTCTAGAGAACACCACTATCTAGGTATTGTCGAATAGACAAAATGAACCCTAAATAATATTAGTATGTAGGCTTAGGTAAATTTTATATAATTTACAACAATTATGCAACAAGTTTTTTCCACTAATATTAACCAAATTGGTTGGCCCAGATATTAATGCTCAGGGAATCTTAATGTCGGAAAAAACCCATGCGGTCGGGTTACACATCCTATCGGAGAATTGAACCCCGCCCGCTTCGGTGGAAGGCTAGTGTGTTATCCACTGTACCACAAATCCCCAACTTTTGTAGATGTTTTGCGGCAGTATTCTTGAAATTCTAATTACAGTGTTGAAGTGAAGTGTTTCTGAAAACTTGACTTCTCCTTGACAGTTGACTTGAGCAGCTGGAGGAAATATGAAAATACCAACAATAATTAATTTTATGTGATGGAGTGATCATCTGTCTGGGAACAGCTGATCATGTTTACAGCCTTGATGAGTCAAGTAAATGTCCCTTAGTCTCTTCTCATTTTGAAGAACCAAATTTTCACTTCTATATATGAAATAACTTCAATTTTGATTCCTTTTCTATAATTGCATCTTAATCTTCTATTCATTAACCCTCCCACCCCACCCCTTTAGTTCCTCCTTATAGTCCTATGACCTTGTGTAACCCCTGCAACGACCTCCCTTTTGTTACCCCTATCAATCCCTTTGTAACCCTCTACACCCGATTTGAAAGCCCCTCCATAACCTACTCATATGAATCTCCCTCACTAAACCCTTCCACTCTGTACTACTCCTCTGAGTTACCTTTACCTACGCTTCCCGCCCTTCATAGCCCCTCTTATTCCCCTTCAATGTGTAACTCTCAGATATGCCCCTTTCTGAACCCCTTTTCCCCTGTTATGTCTGCCCCTCACACCCCTCCCCTCCGTAATTCTGTCTCCTCCCTCAGACTTACATCATGGCTAAGGTAGTTGACGAGAGCAGCCATGGCATCGAAGGCTTGTAGATTAGACCTCATTTGTAACTTGGCGAAGTTGAGTTCTTTGGTCCGCGCCTCACAGAGAGCCTCGAGGCGGGCTATCTCCTGCTTGGTGTGGGCAGGGTCTGGCTGGGTGGGCAAGGGCTTCTGGAGGGTCTTACTCTTACTGCTCTTGTTGCGGCTTTGGTCTGTAATAGAGAAAAGCAGGTGGTTTTGTCATAAAGGTTGTGTGCCATTAACCACTACTCTAGACCTCATTGTTTGTTAGAAGATGATGCTCAAAGATTTACACACAATGGACCCTATGACTAAGTATCATTACTCTAGGCCTCATTGTTTGTAAGAAGATGATGCTCAAAGATTTACACACAATGGACTCTATGACTTAGTATCATTACTCTAGGCCTCATTGTTTGTTAGAAGATGATGCTCAAATATTTACACATAATGGACCCTATGACATAGTATCATTACTTTAGGCCTCATTGTTTGTTGGAAGATGATGCTCAAAGGTTTACAAACAATGGACCCTATGACTTAGTATCATTACTCTAGGCCTCATTGTTTGTAAGACAGTGCTCAGAGATTTACACACAATGGACCCTATGACTTAGTATCATTACTCTAGGCCTCATTGTTTGTAAGACAGTGCTCAGAGATTTACACACAATGGACCCTATGACTTAGTATCATTACTATAGGCCTCATTGTTTGTTAGAAGAAAATGCTCAAAGATTCACAAACAATGGACCCTATGACTTAGTATCATTTCTCTAGGCCTCATTGTTTGTTAGAATTTATGTTTGTTTGTTTGTTTGATTTTGTTTAACGTCCTATTAACAGCTAAGGTCATTTAAGGAGCGCCTCCCCTGTGTGCAAGATGCATGCGTGTAGTGTATGTGTGTGTTTTTTGGGAGGCTGCGATATGTTCGTGTTTATCTCCTTGTGATAGCGCAGAACTGATGCCGACTTTATAGTGCTACCTCACTGAAACATACTGCCGAAGACACCCAGCAGGACGCCCCACCCGGTCACATTATACTGACAACGGGCGAACCAGTCGTCCCACTCCTAATTTGCTGAGCGTTAAGCAGGAGTAGAAACTACCATTGTTAAAGACTTTGGTATGGCTCGGCCAGGGGACAGAACCCAAAGCCTTCCTCACAGGGGCGAACGCTCAACAAATGGCCAAAAGTGAGGCATTGTCAAGGGAGACATTAGGAAGAATAAAGTTATTTAGAAAGGAGAGAAGAGATAAGGTCCCAAATAGAAGACAGTGCTCAGAGATATACACACAATGGACCCTATGACTAAGTATCATTACTCTAGGCCTCATTGTTTGTTAGAAGACAGTGCTCAGAGATTTACACACAATGGACCCTATGACTAAGTATCATTACTCTAGGCCTCATTGTTTGTTAGGAGAAGATGCTCAAAGATTTCTTCATGGCTGATCCCATGACTTTGTAATGAATGAAGATTATTTATTTGAACACTGCTGATGGTCTGTAATCAAAGCAAGTTATAAGAAAAATGTCTTTACTTTGAGCCTCAAGGTTTGTAAGAAAAAGTATGTAGTCGAGAGCTTGGGTCTAGGTTGTTTCCGAGGCCATACTTACAATAAATGGCCCAAATCTCTCTCAAACTGTTTAATGAAATATGGTGCATAACCATGATATTTTGTGCTGGGCGAACCATGAAGGAACAGTAGATAAAAATGCCTGTATATATAAATGTCCCTCGGTCCATACCTGTATGTAAGCTGTGGATGCAGCCACTACCGGGAGTGTATCTGGGGTCCACCGTTAACCAATCAACTACAGGAAGGACAGACAGGTAGAAGGAGATACAGGCCATACTCTTACCCAATCACCTCATCGTACAGAACAAATCTGATCCGATATCAAACAACTGTCAACATGATTGTTCAGTCAAATCTTTATACACACGTTCCTCTATTGGCGTTCCGGCTGATCCACCGATCTCCGTGATCGTGTCTGAACCTTAGGATCACTGCGTTTGTACTAACGAACCAAAGTTTCAGTAAGATAAACATGCCACTAAACTTAAATGTAGCACTGTTTTTCACAAAATACTTGAAATAGATGGAAAATTGTTGGCAAATAACAAATAACAATAAAGTAGTTGATCCACAGAAATGAATTTACAAGCTTTCCCTAGGAATCACCCTTCAGCCTATGTTTTGTTTGTAACAACAGACACAAGTGATTCACTTATTCTCCCCGAAGTATGTGGTCCTCTGAGTTAATGAAATATTCAAACCTTCTTAGAACAAATCGGAAAAAATGTCACCAGGAATAATGTTCATCCATAGGATTGTTTACACAACGTTACAAGTCTTCTTCAGCAAACTGTAATGGAATCTAATGGTTTTCAAACAAAACACTCTCGTTCCCTGTACATGAACTTCTAACACAGGGTGATTAAATCCAATCACACACCACATACAGGTAGTCCTTATAAATGTGGCTTTTAGATTTCAAGGAGGACTGATCCCCCCCGCAGGTCTGTCGGCACAGAAATTTAAACTCAGAATGTTACCGGCACAGAAATTTAAACTCAGAATGTTACTAAGTGTGACATGGACAATATGGAGACGCAGATCTAATCCTTGTATCTATCAAACCAAGCTACACCTGAATGCCCCGAGTTACGGGGGACAAACCCACACCTGTATTCCCATGTCAGGTACTTCAACCCCAGGTAACAACGTTAACAGAGGTAGGGGAGGGGTGCAACTCAGCCAGGTAACAAGAGGTTTACTTCCCAGGCAACGGCTAAGGGGGGCAAGGCTGAGGGGGAATGAGAGTCAAGCCTCAGGTATACCCCTTCAGTATTGGCTTGAGGACGAGGAGGAGGGGGGCCTACAGGTACACAGGTAACTTCAGACAGGTGTAAATCAATGACAATGGGTTTTATGTCTATCCGGATACAGGCGTATTGGAGTTAAGTTTCCAATTTTATGTACACAAATACTCGAGAGAAACTGAAATCACTTACAACATGTGCATGTCAAGAATACATAAGAGGTGTGTATGTGTAATAACAGGTATTGTATACCAGGTAAAAAACTTGTGTTACCTCACGGAATAATGTTTTATACCACGCACCAGTAACAGGACTGGTTTACTCTCATGGATGTCGATTCCACTAGGACAAACCGTTAAACACTCCTTTATTACCAAAGTGATCATACGACCAGACTGACCACAGACATTGGTCCCATAAACATAGGATGTCCAAGATTATGTCCTGACAAAGGACTCAAGACTTGCACTAAGACACCTGACTAGAGTTTAAACTAATGACCATGATAGAAATACAAATGACCTTTGCCCATAACAAGCCTTGCTGAACTATGTCAAAGATTTACTCCGCACAATCCTGACCAGTGTCTAAAGCCTTGAGACCCCTTACTGACATCCAAGACCAGACCCTGTACCCTACTAAATACAACTGACTTACCCCTGACCATGACGTAGAGTTTGCGGGCCTGAGTCGGTGTGGAGCTGACCGACTCCCGGAGGACACAGACCCTAACCGTGGGGAGGGCCACATTTTTACGCCTCCCTCTAAACATCATAACAGATTCTCATGTCCACCCATCAATCGTGTATCGATATAACTAACTTTTTCATGAATATATCAATATTTCCACCTGATTAGTATGGATACACAGTCAGGGTGATAGAGGAAGGTAACTAATCCGTTTGTGACGGCCCCGAGGTAGTGTTGACATACTCAATGTTGACATACCCTGGGTGTGGAGCAGTTCTCCAGTCTAGTTTACTCTCCCTCAGATATACCTGTACAAACGCCAAGCGCCTTATCAATACAGGTAATGGACTGTGAAGTGAAAACAATCAGGTATATTACACACCTGCTTCACAGATTAAGATTACAGGGGATTCTGCTTATATCCAGACTTCCTTATACCCTCCCAAAGATCTGTCAAAATCCATTTCACCGATACACCAAGGTAGAATCGCCATTTCAACCTAGAGCAACTTATGATAGAAGAACAATCCTGGGTAATTTGGAGGTAGAGGGTATGCTAGATGGACTATAGAATACAAACGGTCACTGCTTATTCCACAGATTTTAGGTTTAAGAATATGTACTTCAGATTTGAGGTAACAACTATAGAAGATAGATAGTAAATTAGATTTTCTGTTTGGTACCTATGCAAAGCCCCTGAATCTGATTATCATGAGTGCATGATAGATATATGTAAACCAAAGTTGATTAAAATGTCACCCTTTGGAGTGACACTTTATATCACCTCTGGATCTCATCAAGACATGCTTATTATGAAGAATAAATCTTATTATTATAGTTCTGAAGAAGAAGATTTTAAAGAAAACTGCCAATAAACATTGATCCAATGACATGGTGTACAGTGCACTACAGCATATTTTTTTTCTGAAGGTCATTTACGTAATGGTCTAGTTACAAATCCGTTATATTTTGAACACTGTAACAGTTAAACCCTCTTTGTGTGATAAGAAAAGCTAGATTAGTGAACACTTGTCCAACAGTAGTTTGATCTACATTTTAAACTTAGCCAATGTGTGAAAAAGACCATTGATTTCATTGGTGTACAATATCATAAAGAAACAGTGTTTTAAGGAATCAAAAGCTTCATACTGCTTAATATCACATTTCTGTTAATGTCATGTTGCATGACATTAACAGAAATGTGATATTAGGCAATGTGACATTAACAGAATCCACAGTATTAAAATAAACTTGAAATATCCAGGACCTAAGCATTCTCTGAATTAATGAAAAGTTCATGAAACGCAGCTATTACTACAACCAGTGCACCAAATCTAAAAATTAATTCCATTTTCAAAGTTTCAGTAATGGGAACATTTAACTGTGTTTCAAATAGTCGGCCCTTGATCTTATCACAACATTACTCATCTGTACTATTTTTAGTTTAAATTGAACGTATTTCACACCAGGAAAGACTTAATTATCCATAAAAACCTGCTATCAACATGCCTGCAGTGACACTGACCATTAATTTCCTATGCACTGACCCTACACAGAACTGACCACGACTTCCTGTCGGACCCGGGTCCAGATGGCCCCGGTCAGACAGGTAACCAGCAGGGATGTGGCTATCATCTATCTCACTAATGGCTCGCTGCTACATGGTCAT